TCTTAAAATACAATAATCTTGCAAAAAATTAGTTTCATTTCTTGTCGGTGCGACGCAATTTTCTTTCCATTTCGTCGCAATAAGTAAACATTGGAAATACCCTTCGCATAATCTGAGCCTTTCATTTGCATACGCTGTGCTTTGTTGTGACACAATTAATACTTTTTAAATTGCACTATAGTTTATTGTGTCTGTCTTTTTCTCACAAAATCTCAAGGACAACGTTCTTTTTTCCTAACAAATTATGACATGAATTATTTTTGTGATATGATTTATAATTTTTATCTGGTCGTCCTAAAAACTTCCAAGCCAGGTGGAGCGAATTCATTGTAATGCCATTGCTTTATAACCAGTTATTTTCATATGTAGTAATAGGGGTGGGCAAATGAAAGCTTTTTTGGGAAATTTAATTTCAGACAAGTGGATTCTATGGCCATTTTGGATGCTGAATACAAATCTAATAAGTATTTTCATTTTAAATTATATCTGATATTGGTATCAAGTGATATTTCAAAATGGCCACCAAACGCTCCTTCCAACCACATATTTCTCATGTAAATCTTTAAATATCAGTTCAAAGATGGCTTGTTATATGTCTAACTATATGATTTCATGATCAGTGAGTGCAAATAGATACAGCATTTTGGTTGGGTCACTTCATTTTGGGTTAAAAAGAGGATTTTTTGGTCATTTTGATGTAAAAATCACCCCAAAATCACCATTTCTGTGTATATAAATACAAATGTTTATATGCAACTGTGGCTTTTAAATTAGAAAAAACAATAATACAACAAATGTGGTCAATATTGTTCAAGGATCACATGAAACTGAAAAGTTTTGACATATAGAATAGGCATGATGTTAGTTACATACGGGAATATTTACAGTAGAACACTCCGTACCAGAGCATTAGGATATTGTTACTCTTTTTTACCACCCAGTACCGAAAATGAGTTTTTTCCTGCATCTAATTATTCAATAATGTATCTGTCTTTGTGCTGCTGTGAAATAATGTAAGAACTCTTGAAAATATGAAATATCGGCGTTTATATTTTTTCCTTGAAATAACAGAAGCAAACCCAGCAATGTATAAGCATGAGCAACTGAAAGCTTTAATCATCTATTTTACAGCTTTCTTTTTTGAGATTAGTTAGCAATCCATATGGGGCTTAACTTCATCCCTGAACAAGATTTTATCACAAAAGTGGCCAATGGACCACAAGAGCATGAGCTACAATCCCATGCCAATGTTTTGGTTTAAATGCTTTTGTTATGGAGTTATGAGTCCGTAATGACAGATCTTCTAAAACAAAGGTATTATGTTGCTTTATCAACAATCAAATCTGAAGTAAGGCTTTAAAAAATTGCTTGCAGGGTGTTGGGGTACTAAATGGTGTCATTAAATTGGCTTTGAAATAGTGATCACGGGTGTTCAGGTAAAAAAGAAATTTGAAAAACCAATTTTTCAGTTTTTACCCCCAAACTGCAATTATGCCATCACCTGTAAGATGACATGTGTAAATGTTAATTAATGTAATCACTGAATACTGAAAATTCATTTATCACTGAAAAGAATGTATGTAAGGCAGTATATAAGGAGTTTTGGGTGAACGGTGACAATATCCTTATTGTCTTCATTTATAACCTAGTCACTCTAGAGGCTGAATGAGCTAGAATGTTGTCGGAATGAAAATTTCTTGTTTATTCCTGGATATTTGAAGTATCTAAAATTTCTAAGCGCATTCTAAATGTTTGGGTCCATTTATGCGTCCTGTTAAAATGTTTTGCTCATTCTCAAAAATTCGAAGTGCATTTCAAGTGGAAAAATATCGAATGGCATTAAAGAGTATTCTAACTGCACTATGAGCGCATTCTTAAGATTCTTACGTAATTCCAAAAGCATTCGGAACATTTTGATCACATTCGAGGGAGAACCGAAAGGGCAAGGTGCTTCAAATCTTGTCAGAATGTTCCACATTGTGCCTCCAATGAGCAGGAATGCAACTTAAATGCATCTTGATTACAGGCTGGAATTCAGCCAGCAATGAAACCACACTTGTATGGCATTTAAAGTACATTCTAAATATGCTCACTATATTTAGACAGCATTAACATTATTCCTAATGTGTTCCAACTACATGTGAGCTGCATTTGAGAGCTAATACAATACAACCCAAATGTGCACGAACCATTCCAGGTGGGTTCGAAGCGCATTCTGAGGTTCTGAGATTCTGAGGTATTCTTACTGGAATTGAGGACAATTTGATATTACCCAACGAATGTGGTGCAAATTTTGAAAATTCTTCATTATGGCTCATTCTGCTTCCATACTTCCATACTTCATAATCCAAATAAGTGTGACAGGGGGCTTTAAAGTGCCTTCTGGTCTCAGTGTATTTCTTGTTGATGCTTTCATGGTGGTGGTGAGATACTCTTAAACTATGCAACTGAAACTAAGTACTAATATTCCAAGGTCAAGAGCTGAGGTTGTAAGAGGTTGATGTCACCTGACAAAGTTTTACCTGTTCTGAAGGAAAGGTAAATTATAAAGCATAAAATGTGTTGGTTNATCCATTACGTAGGAAGTGACTCCATTGCCCCATTACTTTATCCAATATCAACCATTAGATCATAAAATGAACAAAAATTTTATATATGAATATAAAGTCTTAGCTAATGATAAATATAGTTTCCTTTATTTATTTATTCATTTTGTTTATTGTTTTTTTTTTAGATTATGTACCTTGCTTGCTTGCTTGCTTGCTGTCATGCTGACCTGCTGACTAGTCCATTTACTATACCGACATAAGCGATGTGAATGGTTACTGAACTGAACGTTTAAAAATAAAGCATGAGTAACATAAACTCTCCAATGTCTCAACGATTTCACACAATTTAACATCAAGCGTCTGTGCCTTTTTTCACAGAGGTGCACGGCTATTATGTAGCGCATTGAATTTTGTAACCTTTAAATAACAATTGCAAATAAATCGCTTCTTTTCAATTGTTTGTTTGAACTCTTGTTTCACGTGTAGATGAACGATCGCGTTTCATTTGCCTATATACGTATGCCTACCTAAAACAACATTCACTCAGAAAGACGACGAACTGTACACAAGCCTCTCACAATATCTTTTTATATTGACTTGAAAATGAACATTTGGCTGCGTTTGACTATATGGCTAAATCACAAGGTATCAATACATTTATGTACTTAACACTCTGAAAAGAACCGTTACGGCACGACTTTTACCTTTTTGAATTACCCCGGGCTCTTGAAAGAAAAAGAAATTTTTAGAAAGATTTAGGTCTTGCAAATAAATTAGCCGCGCAGAAAATTAAACGTTCTACATGGCAAAGTATTTTTCCAACATAACACAATTTAAGAACGCTAGCAAAGCCAGGTTACCAGAGCAAAATCATTCTCCCGCCATTATTATTTAGGAGTTATTTTCATATCAATAACTATTCACAGTTAATTCGCTATATGACTACCCTACCTATTTAATGATTTAAGGAACTCACCGGAACCGTTAAGGGTGGCATTTTTAAAATGTTCCAGTCATGTCTGATTGGTGTCAACTGATCATGAAACAAACTGCGCAATAAAAGATTCCCTTTGAAATTGTCGCTATAAATGAACAGTGGAAATACATTGTACCCAGATGCGCACAACTCTTTTGAGCATTTTTTTGGACGTGCAATCAGCTCTTTAATGGCATTGTTTATTTCTTAAAAGTCACTTATTATAAGTTTGTTTATTTTAAAGTCAACGGTATCTTACAAGTACATTAGCTCTCTGGTGCTTGGTTATCTGGCTGTCACTGCATGTAAACAATGCGATACTTAAAATATTTACGTTATCGCTATAAAACACATGCCGTTTCTATTGTTTGAGCAACCGATTTATATATATTATTTTCGTAGAAATCTGTAAGTGTTGTTATCTAACAATGATACACCTGGATGTCATTTCTGTCCTGCATGTTTCGCTTTGGTCAATTATCTACATGATCTTCACAACGACGACAAGTTTTGTGGATTATTTTTTAATCACACACTGTAGCTCACAATCTTTAATTAATTGAAATTGCATTGAAGTACGACCTACTTCATTTGATCACTTTTCACTAGCCTCAGAGGTAAATCATTAGAGAACAATCAATTATTCAAGGAACTCACTTGGAATCCGTTTTGTCACAATTTAGTAACTGTTTACAGTTAATTCGCTATGTGACGACCCCGCTATAGTTTTAAGGAACTCACCGGAACTGTTGACGGTGGTATTTTTCAAATGTTGCTGACATATGCAAGGGATCTTTTCGTGTCTGTCTGGTTGTCAACTCTGGCAAATTGCGCAATAAAAATTTCCCTTTTATACCTCTGCTATAAATAAACAGTGGAAATACCCAGCTGCGCACAACTCTTTTGAGCATCTTTTTCATGACATGCAATCAGCTCTTTTGAGATGTTGTTAATTTCTTTAATTTCATTTCTTATGTTTTTGTGTATTTTTTTTCCTTTTAAAATGTCATCGAAAGCCAACAAGTACATTACACCTCCGCTTGGTTGTCTGGCTGTCACTTCACGTAAATAACGCGAACTTGTATTAATGTTTACGTCATTGCTATAAATAAACACGTACCTGTTGCCATTGTTTAAACAATTACTTTACTCCCTTTGCAAAACAACTTTTGACGCGTATTGATTTTTGCGAACTTTAAATAAAATTTTGTAATAACCTCTCTCTGTTAAGTTGTTTGCTTGAACAGCCGTTTTTACAAATACGTGTACATTTCTTAAACAAAATGCATATGTATGTAGACCTATCAGAATTAACTGAATAAAAATAATAGTGGCACATGTAAAACCTTCGATTTGCTTCTAACCCCCTCCCTTCCCTCTTTATTGCAGCTAAACAATGGCCAGCGATATATTTTATTATCCTGATGCTGGTTCAGTTTTCTTTTTTATTTCATTCTCATTTCTATTTTTTTTTTTTCGTCTAGATATGTGTGAACTTGTACGCGAGTTTTTGTCTAGCCCGCAGATAAAACAAGATTCCTCAAGTGGTGAGCATTGACAAATTAAATGAAAGTTCTATTGTGCAAATGAAAAATATATAAAAATTCATTTTCATCATGTAACATAAGACGCATGTTTTATTTCGTCTTTTCACATTTTCAACAGGGCTGATACATGTATTATGTAAATTTTTGTTTAAAATATTTGTTTTCATTCATTTGATGAGTAATTAATGAATAAGTAGTTGGCGTATGATAGAACCACCAACGTGAACCAAAAACAAATTATTCACCGAAAAATATTAAATGAATTTTGTCATTGTTTCAGAGTGTACAAAACAAGACGAGTCAAACGATCAGGAATCTCCACTGGATCCATCAAGTCACCACCACCACCATTACTATCACTATCATAACCACTATAATACAACATACTGCACGCACAACAACATTAACAACTGTCAGTATGTGCAGGTGGGGAATGGGAACATCATGGAGAGAGTTCCCGAGTACCTGTCTGAGCCACCCAGTGATGTTGAACACTGGGACGTCGATAACGACCTTGGGTGACGAATTTGAAAAAATAGGGACAAAAAAAGGACAAGAAAGGGAAAAAATGAAAAATAACTTGGGTTGGGTTGAAAACCCATTGCTGCTGATGAGGAGGAGGAGAAATTACAGACACAATATGATGTCTCTAATTATTAACCACCAAAGTTAATGACCAGTCCGCGATATTTAAAATCTCTAGTTAATTGCGTTATTGATGATGTCGCTACAAGTATGTTAATGCCTTATACTCATTGTGTGTCTTTGATATTTATTAAAGGTGACTTAGAAGTTCACAGTCCCCAACGCACGGTCTCTAAAAGCAAGGCGGGGAAAGGGTCGGGACGAAATATGTGACTTTGAAAATTAGGTCTAGACGACCCATCCACACACTCGTCTCAGTTTTTAATGTGAGGTTTATAAATGTACCCTGCAGTGGTGCTATTTCATCCCATCCACCCATCCTCAAACACACTGTAAAAAATTGTACACGTATCACAGGTGTGGAGGTGGACCATGTGTCATTATGAAGAAAGCTCAGTTTTAAGGAAATCCAATGTGTAACTCAATCCAAGGAGTTGTACATGAATGTATAACCCTTTGCTCATCCAAAAGTTACTCATGGCAGTCGCTCTGGCTGTCACAGGTTAAGAGTTAGGGTTATTGGCCTCCGCAGAAAATGCCCAGGTAAGTCAAAGTCATTGAAGGGAGGATAATGACTGGCTGGGTACCCGCAATAAAAATACAGTTCCAAATTTCCAGGGGGGTGGGTCCCCACTGACATCCCCCCCCCCCTGCGGACGTCCATGATTAGGGTTATATTGTCACCACGCCTCGTCATGTACCCTGTTCCTCTTTTACTGTAGTAGAGAGGCGGTGAAAGTTTACTTATTATATGTTTTTTTTCTTTTTCAAAATATGATGACCGCAGCCTACTCCTTTCTCAAGTCCAATTTGTAATATAGGCGTGTGGGGCCATTTTATCTACCTGTAATACATGTATGACGGGTCCCCAAATCAGAAGCGTTTGCAGGCAAGCTGCGTCACTGGGATAAATTCATTCCATTTTCTTTCTAAATTCTGTTATTGTTTTTATACTCAGATTCATTCGCGGAAATGCTGCAGTAGGGTAAATATTTATTTTTTCAGAATAATTCATATACAAGTATGTTAGCTGACGAAGAAGGGTACACATTCATTTTTAAAACATAATGGCTTAAAGATATGTATTATTATATATTTAAAGCTTATAGGCTTCTACTTTAAAATTATTTAAATAGCACATGATTTGATTGGGGAGTTTCTCCAAAGTCGTTTTCTCAAAAAATTGTTCTTTTTGTCAGTTATGTTTTTGCTTTAACCAAAGGTGATAAGCTACTCCTATACTGAAATATTCGAAGTCGTGTGTGTGTGTGTGCGCATTGTAATAAACAAATCGGCATCGTTGATACGTCGACGTTTACCGACTTATATAAAAGAGGACTGCTGTTCATGTATATTAGTTTTATTTATCACAATATTGTTGTTACTTATATATGATAAATGATATTATTTTAATTTTATAATATTGTTATATTCGAGACTTTGGTCACAAAATTTAGTCCTAAAAGATGTCCTAATGATTAGACCGAGACTTTAATCTACTGTAATTTACTGTGTTGAACCAAGGCATGCTTTGTTATTTATCACTTATCATATATTTGTGAAACTGGCATATTCTTGGCACAAATTCACAATAATTCGCTTGTTTAAAAGTCATTTTAGGGGCAGTTACATGCTTTACTTAAAAAAGAAAGTAAATTGATTGAACAGTGCTCAGCTTTTGTTTTAACAAATGATTTCAAATGACGAATGGAGACGAAAAAAATATCTCCCACCCAAGAAAAAAATGTATGAACTTTGTCTAAAATGTTAATCAATGGCCTCACAATTTCATTTCGAAACTTATTTTCTTATAAAAAATAGAAAAGGCTGAGATGGCATTCGAGTGTAGTCACATTTACCGGAAACGAGATCGAAATAGATTTGAATGTTACATTATTCTGCATCAAAGAGGATATTTTGCACTTGAACCAGTTGTCAAAAGAATAAAACAATCATTTCTATTTTTGAAAGCCCCATTTATTAGAATAATCACTCAAGTACAAACGTTTGCCTCCTTTTCTTTTTGTTACAGACATCTACTTACAATATAATACACATCGTTTCATTTTAATTCCTGCTCCACTCAATCACCACAGAGGTACATGCACGTGCTACACGTAATAAGTAGTATAATGTTGCGCATGCGTCACTAGGAGCTTGGATTGGCCGGACTCACAGTCAATACATCATAGTGTTATTACACCCTTCTAAATGCATTAAGTATTTATATGTTAGGGTTTTAACATAAACAATCTTTACTATGATACCGGGGTTAATAAATGCATTGTCGTTGTCTGCGCCTTGAAATTTAAGCAGGAATCCAATTGACCATTTCCCACAGTCACAGTTGTACAATGGTATTTTCCCCATGCGTACAAGTGACTTATTTTGATGGCCAGTCGGGTTAAATAGCTGCTCATGACGTCATGCTTCAACCCCATATACTTGTGACATTCATAAGAGAATACATATGTTCTGAGTACAGAATATCTTAGTCAATGGGCTTTTATTTTTGCTATTGCTATCACACTTTTAATTCCTCTGGTTCTCTGCGAAACACAAAAAATATATACACCAACAGCAGGGCACTCCAACATAAAGCGCAGACCTCCGCAAAGGAAATACAACCACAAAAATCAGTATAAAAGTATACAGACTCAGATTCAGTTTAAATTTGGGTCACTTCTTGGCTGCCTAATAACCGAATATCCCGAAAGTTTCTCTCACACTGTCTCAAAACAAACACCAGATGGATATAAGTTTTGGATATCGCACGAATTTGGTCCCCGGCCAATCAACGGTGGAAGTATTATACCCATAGATCGATCAAAGGCACCCGATATGCATACGAATGTACTATAACGCAACGACGTGGGTTTTTCAGAGGGCTACGCTTCTGGAACGTTCATACGATGTCTTACAACACCCTCATAAATGAACCGATGTTTTTGCGGTCAGAGCCAAATTTAAGTATTCCCTTCTACTAGTCTTGTGTCCATCTGATATCAGTTTCAGTACAGCATGACACATACATAACATAAGCAAACAAAAGCATCAACCATTTCATTGGCGGATGCAATAAAAACAATAAAAAGGGGATATACATAGCAAATTATGGTATATACACTAGATATATCCATATTGTTAATATAAGTAGTATGGCAACAAATAAAAAATAGTTGTTGCATTTTTAAATTTTCACGTTGTCATTACAAAAACTTTAAAGAGAACACATCTTTCAGAACACATCTGAATTGATCCCTCTGGTCCCATTGGAAATGATCGATGGCTCATCTAAGCAACACTCAAACCGTGACATGATTCAAATATAGATAAAATCAGTGTGCCAAAAAGAGGGCTTAAAAGATTGGAAACAGAATAATGTCAAACACAGGTCGGACAACGGATATTTCAAAGTGACCACAGCTTTTTAAACACATCATATAAAGCTTCAGCAAAAACATCTTGACTATATACAGAACAACCGTTACTTATGATAATTGTATACTTACTTTTTGATATATATAAATATATCATGGTAACATCTAATATTCTACAAATTCCGATTAATGATGTTTGTAATTCTTTCATATTACTGATTAATTCGTGCAAACTAAAAACCGTCTGTAACCATTTTAGGTTACGGCATGACATGACATTTACCGACATTTTACTTATTCACTTTTGTTTTTTACTTTTTACTTTTTACCCCTTAAAGAGGGGTACACATGTGAAGCACAAGCTTATCTTCCACATGGCCCTCTGTTACCAGTCATTCAACAGTACTGGCTTTGTTCCCTACTTCAACCTTTATATGCTGAGTGCTAAGCAAGGAGACAGTAGGTACCATTTTTATGATGGTCTTTGGTATGACCCGGCTGGGGATTGAACCCACAACCTATTGTACCAGAGGAGAGCATTCCACCATTTGATCCACTCTATTTCGTGATCACCCATGGTAGGATTACTGCTTAAGACGATTTTATAACTTTAAGGTGAATTAAGAATACATTTTTCGTTCCCTCAACTTCATTATCCCAGTGGATCAGAATGGCAACTTGTTGCCGCATCTTTATCTATCTATCCACTGAACAATCTTTTTTCTTTTTCTTCTTTTTTTCAGTCACACATTTGTAATTCCCTGAGTATCGTTTTTCCCTGATTAAAAATACCAACTAACCAATGTTGAAGCCAGCGTTATTTGTTCTATTACCCTCAGTAAGATCGTTTTTATTTCAAATCTAACTACAACGTGAAAGTACGTGGGTCTTTGTCTATGAAACGGGGCAGAAATTCAGCGTTGAGCTCTGGCCCTCTATTCCTTCTGAAAACACCAAAACAGTTTATGTTACTTACAATACTTCCAGTTTAATAGCATACTTTTATTTTAAGACACCTTTTTAAGTTATGAAACATCATTCAAATAAAAACATATTTGATTGATTGGAATAATGTAGGTAACCATATTGTATACTGATAATAAGAAGGGGAAATTTCCATATAAAACTAAATGACCCCTTACGTTATATTACTTAAATGTATCAAATATAGAGGTGTTTCACGTGTATCATTAGTATAGAGTCAATCAAGGTGTGTAAGTATGCTGAAACTTTAAAGAAGATTCATTTTTGTTGTACAGGTAATTAAAACACACAATGTAGGCTATGTCTGTACAATTCAACACGTCAATATAATCAGTCTGCATATTGACACAAAACATCCCAAAACACAGTATCTTTACAAACGTGTGTACTTACCCCCATTAAGCTCACACGAGCACCCATTAAGTTTCCTCTTTTTCCCTCCTCGTGTTATCCCCTGGCCTGAAAGTAAATATGCACTATTTATTTATTTACTTATTAATTAATTTACTTTTAAATTCATTTAATCCTTCATTTGTCATTATTATTATTATTATTATTATTATTATTATTATTTTTTTTTTTTTTTTTTTTTTTTTTTTTTTTTTCAAAAGATTTCGGACGCATAGTTTTTATGCAGACCGGAAACTCCAAATTGACAAAATTACCCAAATTACACAAAATTATAATACATGATAAAAAATAACATCAGAGTAATAATATGCATTTATTCGCGATCGTTGCATGTTGTTAAATGTTAATGAGAGGGGGGACGGAGAGAGATACCTGTTGAGCTAGAAAGAACGCAAACGGCACCAATACACGTGTCAACCTACCGTCACTGCCCTCAAAAAGGAGAACCTTGGCATCAGGAAAAATTTTCCCTGTCAGCAAGCGCTTCCACTTGGTTTTCAGGTCGGGGCGCTGGGTCACGTTAAGAATGAATAACGTTTCCTGGGGTACCCCTGGCATACTTGCCAAGATCTCCTGCACCGGCTGCCCTCGCTTCATTGCATGGCCTCTACATGTAATCAAATTAAGAGTGGGTTTCGCCAAATACAACACATCGGAGGATAAAACAGAATCTTGTAATATATGAAATCTTTCATAGTTTGTTTCTAAATGAGAGTAGCAAAATTATCTATTTGCCAGTGAATGTGCCAAGTGAATAATGTTTATAAATATACCATAAATATACAAATTATTTCTACATAATGCAAGTACTAGCTGAACTCAATTCAAAAATTTATCATTAAAAGTTTACCCTAAAATCTCTTCCACTGTTTCTATGTCTATGACTGCCTTGTAACCTCCCCATTCCCTCTGTCCAGATTCAGAGCCGGAGTTTACCCACTGTCCACAGATAGTGGACTTCAAAAACCTGCCATTCCTGGATTCAGTGACCTTCCAGGGGACCACACGATCCTCTGTTGTACATGTATTACGTGTGGCAGTTGTTGGCTGTAAACTGGTGGATGGATGATCTCTCTCCCAGAATATTTCAATGAGTTCATTTCTGATGCTGATGTCGTGTATCAGTTCACGTTGATCGCATCTGTATCTGTATAGAAGCTCCCATTTCAACCAGCACCAACTGACTGGAATATTAGAAAACACATCTCAAATGAGTGTTGATAGATAAATGAATGAGGTATTTACGGGAAAAAATCTAAGACGCACACGTCATTTAATGCATGCGTTCATTGCAGTTCTGCTTCAGTTCTGCTCATGTTATTTCATGAATGTAACTTACAAGTCGATGCCATTAGCAAGGAAAGAAAACATAAGTCCAACGACTAATTGTGAATAAAAATTATCGGCGTTACATCCATACAGGTAAACTGTACTTCTGCCGTCTAAATGACTAGACACGATTATCTCAATTAAGGTTCCTCTTCATACGTCAAATTCGCAGCATATGCTCGGTGCACAAATCTTTCCTGGCTTAATAATACGAATTGCGACCCCCTAATATGTTATACAATAAACATGTAAATACAACTGGATATATTTACGCATTAAGCATTATAGTTAACTTACATAACATGTCTGCCATGTCATCCTGCTCTACAAGCAGCAGAGCATTATAAAGGGCCTCGTCAGCTTCCTCCCTCTCCCCTGAGAGTAGAGTGTCCAGCATCTCCTGGACTTTCTCCACTCTGGATGGCTGCTGAAGTATGGCAGCTCTTTCATCCTCACTGACCATGCGTTTGCTGACAAGATGATCAATTACAAGATGAAGGTCTGGTTCAGATAGGTTTTCAGTTATCTGTAGGTATGCACTTAGTATTAGCCTCATGCTCCAAGGTATTCGAACATCACGACCTGCTCCCCTCTCCCATGAGTACTGTGTATCCAGTATATCACATGCCAACTCCTTGTGACCTGCATCCCATAGTGCACAAGCCAAGACCCTCATTGCTCTTAGACCGTTATTTCTTTTATACATGACAGTGTTCACAAGTTGCCGTGCTGCCTCAGGACCAGGATCTCCTATTTGGTGCTGATCGTCTAGGATTTTGTGACGTTTGAGAGTTTTTGTGACATCAGCAAGTGTTGAAACTTTCTGGAGTGCTGAGCAGATTTTCTTGCAATGCCCTTTCAAAGCCTTGACATGGTCAGGATCTCCGTCAAATACCACAGGGGGACATAACGCTTCAAAGGAAGAAATAATTATAAATAAAATAATGTTGACTATATTGATAATAAATAAATAAATAAAGGATCATTTGTTGCTCATACGTCTAACGACTACATATAACAAAATAATATCAATCACACTTATTAAAATGCATCATATAGAACTTCCGGATATTTTAACTTTTCATATAACCTAGAATGAGAGTAGAGAGGGGCACTGTTTGGAAAGCCGGGGCGAATATTCTGGAAAATGATAATCAACACAAAAAAGCTTAATTTTATTTATTTATTTATTTTATTTTATTTTGGCTTTTTACTCCTTTCAATTTAAATCACACATGTTGCGCTCTTCAGCACATTTCTCTTACAACAAAAACACGCACTTGACTTGGAACAAAGTTTACAGATAACAAAACTGTGTGATGAATGAACATACTATAGGTTTTTGTGGGTATATACGTATACTTATGTGTGTGGGGCTGTGTGTGTGTGTGTGTGTGTGTGTGTGTTTGTAAATTGAAAGTTTTAAATCAATGAACAGTACACGGCGTGAATGTTTTACAACACTAACCTCTTTGGCATAATTTCCTGATATCATCCTCCGCTTTCTCAACTTCTTCTACAAGCCATGCAACGCCAGATTTTATCAACATATCCTTGAGCAACTCATATTGTCCCACTCTGATATGGCGTCCATCTGCCAAGGCATTCAACAGTTTATATGTATTGTAATCCTCCAGAGTACGCGCCCCACAAAAAACTCCCCTTGAAAGTTGTTTCAGAGCCTTTACCGCTTCCTTCGTAATATTTATGTTCAAATGAACAAACAGTTCATTTTGTCGTAATAGGCATTTCCTTTTTAACTCACGATCAGCCCAGTCTAGCGATGGCGATAACGGATGTTGCAAGAGATACTGGTACTCGTCCATCTTAGGCGACAAGAATGCCACTAAAGAGGGGAAATGAGACGCACCCAGCAATCATTCAAGGTTGTTGGAACGAGCTATCTGATAGTCAATCTGAAACGACATGAACATAATTATTAAATGAGTTTTCTGTTTCTAATGGGGATTCTCCACAGTAATGGAGCCAAGAAAATTGAACAGCCTATGTTCAGAGGCGGATGGAAACTTAACTCCATATAAATACATATTGCATATGCTGGTACATATAGCGACAGTGGAATGGTGGGTTTCCATTGCCTTCTAAAACACAAATAACTTGAAGACAATAGCATGACCGATGAAATTAATTCCATGCAAATTTCCAAATGGAAGTAAAATTATAATGAATAAGACAGGCATCTGTGGATCAAGCAAAAACTTCATCTGTGGACCTGGTAGAGGGCACTGATTCTCAGAGCGTGGATCTGGGTGCATTGGGTGAAATTAGGCTGCTCAAAACATCTTAAAAATAAGATTTTAAGAAATAGGGACGATGATAAATTAGATACTTAAAAAAGTGGAATCAATTTCCAAGTGACATGGGAGGCAATTGAGACCTGCAGGCAATTCCTGGAACAACCAACACTCTTGAGAGTAAAAAAATTGATCACAGCGCGAGGTCTTGGCACGTTTTGAAGCTGATGTAATCAAGTCCATCACAATCTCATGCGTGACAGTAAATGAGAGAAATGCAAACTGGTGCATGCATGCAGACACGTATAAAAGGATTAAAGATTGGCATTAAGAATTCAGTCCAGCAAAAATAAGTTGTTCCCTCTTAAGTACGACTAGTGTCATAGAGAGAATAAAATGCTATAGTGTGCCGCCAGTTCGTTAACCAAACTACGAGGCGAACGCTACCCTCTCTTACAAATATTGTCCACTGGGTTTCTGGGTAAACTTACTGACCACCAATTCATTTAAGTTATTTTCATATCTGACACACGGCCTTATCAGTTGTATTTCAGTTACCTATCAATGTGACCACCCAATTATTTTTCCCTTGACTTTAAAAGATGCTTTCGCGGTTTGTCGATTGTCAACTCTAGTAAGATCAGTACTGTGCAATTTATTCCCATTTGGTCGCAGTGTAAAACATTAAAAATATCGTGCGCACTACTTGTGTTAGCAACTTCTTTGCACGTGGTGTTTATTTGTGATACGATTTATACTTTCTTTAACTCACTAATTCGTTTTTTGTGCGTCTTGTACTCACAAAAACTCAATAACAGCTTTCTTTTTCTTTACAAATATGTAATGACGTTTTTGAGATATGATTGATACTTTCTTGTCTGATTGTCATAAAAACACCAAATGAAGCCAAATCATTGTCCCACTGTTGCTTTAAAAAATAGTCCACTTCAAGTTATTTTTATATCATTACAGTTACTTCGCTATATGACGACCCCGCTACGGATCTGTTCTCGGTGCTACTAGTATTTCTAAAATGCCGTTGACTTTGCAAGAGATCTTTTCACGTCTGTCTAGTTGTCGACACTGGTGAACAACCTGATAAAAATTCCCCCTTTACATCTCGCTATTGTGGTAATACCCAGCTGCGCACAACACTTTTGAGCATCTTTTTCTTGACATGCAATCAGTTCTTTTGTCACACTGTTAATTTCTTTAACAATAATACACCTATCATTTTATCCTACGTGTTACGACGACCAGATTTCCACTTTTTATTAAATCATACATTGTAGCTTTTGAAACGAACAGAATTGACGTACATGTACTACCTTCATCATGTGACAGCCTTAATTCGCCACTGCACTAGACTCAAGGCCAATATTCCCTACAGCTGGTATATCGACAGAATGAATTATCTTACGAACTTACTTGAAATTCTTCTAAGTTATATCTTCAAACCATAGAAGTAACTCCCCTTTTACATGTAATTAGCTCCTAGGCGTCTCTTTTTTTTTTTTTTAATCGCTTATTAAGTTTTTGTGAAGGCCCTATTTTTTCTTTTAAAAATTGCACGATAACCAACCAGTATATCAGCTTATTTGTCTGACTGCCACCACATGTAAACAATGCGATACTGAATCGTTTTCACGTCGTCGCTATAAATAAACATTTGTCCTTTCCATTTTTTGAACAACCACTTTGTGTATTTTTTTTCTTTGCAAAAAATCTTCCAGTGCCTTTATATAACAATGATACACCTGGATGTCATTTCTATCCTACGTGTTACTCTCTCATCTCAACAGCTGTTTTTACAGGCAGAAGTGCATGAACGGTCGCGTCTTTGCAAACTTATAAATGTTTACGCTTAAAGACAACCGACTGTGCATAGGCCTCTCACAATTTTAGCCAAACCTCTTAACTTATCGTATTGCAGAATAATATCTTTTCTTGTCTGTCCAGTTGTCGACACAGGTGAAAAGCGCGATAAGAATTCCCCCTTATAATAGTCTATAAATGAACATTGGAAATACCCAGCTGCGCACAACTCTTTTGAGCATCTTTTTCTTGACTTGCAATCAGCTCTTTTGTCACATTGTTTATTTCTTTAAACTTACTAATTACGTTTTTGTGTATTCTTTTTTCTTTTAAAAAGTCAACGATAGCCTACCAGTACTGTAAGTTGTTTGGCTGTCACTGCACGTAAACAATGCGATATCATGTGTATTCAAATTTCCTCGTCATCGCTATAAATATACGTGTGTCTTCGCCATTGTTTGAACAATCACTTTGTTCCATTTGCAAAATATCTTTTGGTGCTTTTATTTAGTATCGATAAACCCTTAAGTCATCCTTTATGTTATTTTTCCTGCCTGCATGGTCTTAATTCACAACGCCGACCAGTTATATTTTTAATCATGCCTACGCTGTAGCTCACGTGCGTTAAATGGATAATAAGAATTGAACTGGTATATAATCTACTTTATTTGAGTACTTTTCACTGCATCAGAGGTACCCGGGTACTTCCCTATCACTAGTACATTGACAAAATCAAGTATTTAACAAACTTACTTGAAATCAGTCAGAGAGGTATCTGCATAGAGATTTGTGACATTCAACGTCAGGCGTCGACATCTGTTTTTCACGGAGGTGCACGGCCATTATGTCGCGGATTGACTTTTGCAAGGTTCAAATGACAATGGGAAATAACCAAGTGTTTGTTTGAACAGCTGTTTTTACAGGTTCATGAGTGCTCGCGTTTTTCCATACCTATAAATGTTTGACTTTCTGAAACAAAAATGCACGCTCAAGACGCCCAATGGGATATCGCCACTACATAACATGCTATACTGCTCACGACGTTCATTCTATAAATACAATAATCTTGCAAAAATTTAGTTTCATTTCTTGTCGGTGCGACGCAATTTTCTTTCAATTTCGTTGCAATAAGTAAACATTGGAAATACCCTTCGCATAATTTGAGCCTTTCATTTGCATACGCTGTGCTTTCTTGTGACACAATTAATACTTTTTAAATTGCACAATAGTTAATTGTGTCTGTCTTTTTCTCACAAAATCTCAAGGACAACGTTCTTTTTTCCTAACAAATTATGACATGAATTATTTTTGTGATATGATTTATAATTTTTATCTGGTCGTCCTAAAAACTTCCAAGCCAGGTGGAGCGAATTCATTGTAATGCCATTGCTTTATAACCAGTTATTTTCATATGTAGTAAGTGTTTACAGTAACTTAACTATATCACTGTCCCGCTATTTTTCAGGAACTCACCAGAACTGATCACTGTGCTATTTCTAAAATGTCGCTGACATATTCAAGAGATATATCTTCGTGTCTGTCTGGTTATCAACTCAGGTAAATTGCGCAATAAAAAAATCCCCTTGAAATCGTTGCTATAAATAAACAGTGGAAATACCCAACTGCGCAAAACTCTTTTGAGCATCTTTTGTTGAAATGCAATTAGATCTTTTGTGAGATTATTAATTTCTTTGAGCTCCCTTTTAATGTTTTTGTGCATTTTTTAAAAGTCAGCGATAGCCTACCGGTCAGGACATCAGCTTTCCCTTGGTTGTCTGTCTGTCAATTCTCGTAAACAATGCGATACTATTTAAATTTTCTCGTCATCGCTATAAATAAACACGTGCCCTCGCCATTGTTTGAACAATCACTATATTTCTTTTTGTAAAACATATTTAAGTGTTCTTATTTAGCATTAATAAACCCATACGTCATCTTTAAATAGTATTTTTCCTGCTTGGTCTTCACAACGCCTACCAGTTTTGCGGATTATTATTTTTAATCATGCCTACGCTGTAGCTCTCATTCTTTAAATGGATAATAGGAATGAAACTGGTATGTGATCTACCTTGAGTACATTTCACTGCATCAGAGGTACCCGGATACTCCCTTATCACTAGCATATTGACAAAATCAAGTATTTAACAAACCTACTTGAAATCGGTCTGAGTGGTACCTGCATAGAGATTTGTGACATTCAACGTTGGCGTCGACACCTTTTCTTCACGGAGGTGCACGGCCACTATGGCGCGGATTGATTTTTGCAAGCTTTAAATGACAATGGGAAATAACCCGTTTCTGTTTGTTAACCAGCTGTTTTTACAGGTACTAGTACATGAACGGTCGCCTATTTGCAAACTTATAAATGTTTACGCTTAAAGACAACCAACTGTACATAGGCCTCTCACAATTTTAGCCAAATCTCTTAACTTATTGTATTGCAGAATAATATTTTTTCTTGTCTGTCCAGTTGTCCACACAGGTGAAAAGCGCGATAAAAAATCCCCTTTTTATCCCTGCTATAAATGAACAATGGAAATATCTCTTAACTTATCGAACAACAGAGTAATTAACCAAGTTTTTTCCCTTTTCGATATGACGGTCAGCGGTGATAAATATCGTTTAAATGCGTCTCAACCAATCAGCGCCCAGTGGATATTCGTACGCGCTCCATTTTTTTTTAGGGGGGGGGGGCGGTTCGATAGTCCGAAGGTTTCATTGGTCCGATAAATGGTGACATTTTCATCTGTTTTTTTTTTTTAATCAGGGTTCATTGGTCCGAAGGTTCTAAAGTGAACATTCGGACCAATGAACCTTCCAGTTCGGACTATTGAACCTACGGACCATTGCTACGCCCCCCCCTTCGGGGTTCTACACTGTTATACGTCTCATCTGGGAGAGGGGATTAAAGAGAGTCGCGTTAATCAGGTAATTCATTCACTGTGGTGAATATTACATTTGCTCACAATTCTTCTGAAAGCTGCAGATAATTGATTCTACTAGTACCTTCGGTGTAAGTAAGCAACAGAAAACGGGAAAGGGAATTTAATTGTGTTTATTTCCACTTCTTATTCTGCTTAATATTTTTGTGCCTTCATTTCACACTCATGAGTGAAGACAAGAACTGTTTCTGAAAAGCGTTTCCTGACTAGCATAGGCGACGTGAACACACGTCAGCTAAGGCAATACCCTTTACATTGACTTGAAAATGGCACATCTGGCTGCATTTGACTATATAATATTATCACAATTTATAAATACACTAATATACTTAAACTTTGGAAAAAACTTTATGACACGACTTTACCTTATATTGAATTACCCCTGATATCAACTGAGTTTTGAAAGAAAAGGGAAATATTTAAGATTAAGGTCTTGCAAATGAATCACACCAACAGAAAAATATTTAACACAACACAGTATTTTTCCATCATAAAAAAAAATAAATGTAAAAATAAAAACTTATACAATAAATGGAAAACTGTCTATCTTATGAAAATGTGTTGCATATTTGCTGGTGTTTAGGAGTCAAATCATCACTTAATGCCCACTTTAAATTTCACCCTTCTTATTCGTCTTTAAGCAAAGTAATTTTCATACTTAAGTATTTGTAATAATTTTTAAATTTCATTCATGCATAGAAAAAGTACCTTAGCATTATAAGTCATAAACCTCCAAGAATTATTCCAATATTTTCTTTTCATGATAAAAGTTTATCTTGCATTCAAAGCACATACAAATCATATGAGACTTATGAAGCACAGTTAGGGCCAGACCAATTATCATTTAAGTCAGGAAGGACTGTGATTTAAAAACAAAAAAAAAAAAAAAAACATTAAGATCCCCCGATAGCATTCACATTTTGGAATCCCCTTCTGCATTGATTGAAAAATTCAGGCCCCTCTCAATAAAAAAATCACAAACAAAAATATATCAAAAAATGCCAGTCATGTACTGTAAGGAAAAATTTCATGTACTCTTTGTAACTGCTAGACTGCTAGTGTTCACTGGCATGCTGCAATGTTCATGTGCCTATGAAAGTTCAAAACACTGAAGAACACGTACCCTTGATGAAAATGATGATTCAATAACAATTTTTTAATGATACTTATGCTTGAGCATTAAATGTGTATACATATAGACTTTCCAAAATACTTTTTATACACGTCTTTTATATGTGTCCTATAAAAATAGCTATTGACTAAGACCACACACAAACACACACACACACAAAGACCATAACATGGTTAAACAAGTCATGTTTTCTACATATAGGATGTACGTCCAACATGTGCTTTCACCAAAAACTGAGCTGTACTTAGTACTCTTCTGTCACTTTGTCAGTTATGTTTCTCTCATACATGAACACACCCTGTACCTCCTCATTTACAGTAACAGAAAGGAATGCTACAGTACGTAATAGTTAGAAATGTCCACAAAGTCATCATACAGTACTGAAAACAGTGCATATACTCGCACATATACTTGGGCATACACTGTACGTAGTGACTTAGTCATAACATTAAAATGAAATAATAATAAAAAAATCATTGTGCATGGTAATAAAGGTGTGCATCTACTAGTATTAACTTGTGGTCACTTCTGATTGCTGAACATTGGTAATGTTTGTATCACCAATATGAACTCCATTGCTACCAGAAATGTTGATGGTTTCATTATGCTGATGATGGTGTTCTTCCTTCAAATTCACCACTGTAGCCTTCTTCCCTCTTTTTGAATTCTTTTTCCTGATACAGCCTTTCTTAACCTGGTCTGGAAATTTAAAAGACCACAAAAATAATTATTAGGATGAATGACAGTATTATCTTTTCATGACTTGCAAGTGGACCAACTTCAAATATTATACAGTGAGTCAATGACATATAAAGCATGGATGCTGTTTTATTTTATTATGTGTGCCTTAAGTGTTATTATCATTTTTTTTTTGTTTGTTTTTTTTATTTCTACACTTTGCTTTAAAAATAAAAAGGCATAAGCAATGATACATATAAATACATATACACAAAGAAAATATATTTCCAGTTGGAAATAACATTAAAATATTTGTAAAACTTTTCCCATTCAAAGTAACTTGCTGAAAAAAATCTGCATTTTAATTTTAAACTTAAATTGTGATTGTCATCTAAACCTGTATAAAAGCTATCAAATATATTAAATTTAATAAGTTTTAATAAATATGCTAATCTATCAATCTTCCCTTACTATCCCTACACCCCAGACAGTCATCCATTTTCACATAACACTTCAAAATAAATCATGTTATCAGTACTTTTTTAGTAGACCTTAACCTTTGCGAGATTCCATATAGTTTTTCTAAAGGGGCACAGGGATGAATTACTCTTTGGCTTTGTCTTGTTTCACTCAATTTTTTTTTGGGGGGAGAGGGAGGGGGGGAGAGAAAGGTATACAACCCAGGCCTGGAGCCAGCAATTTCAAAAATGGGAAGGGGGGGTCTTTTTCTGAAAAAAGTGGAGTTTTTACTATGAAACCTTCACTAGATCAAATTTTACCCAGCGGGTACCTCTTCCCAGCAAAAAGGGCAGTTCTTTCTAACCCCCTGAACCCCCCTCCCGGTTATGGGCCTGCAACCAAAGCTGGGGGAGGGGAGGGGCCATATGCCCAATGTGCCTCCTGGATCCACCTTAATTTGAAAACATTTGACCTAAATATTACCTTTTTGAGCACATTTCTTCTTACAAATCTTCTCATATTCTCTCAGTTGTTTACAGCAGCCTGAAATGAGATCTTTGTTAACTTTTTCTTTTTGGCATATGCAGGAAATGAGTAAATGGTCATTGAAGAATAGCTATTTATAAACATGAATACACATTCAAAACATAAATAATGATAATAGTGAATTAATACCAATATGTGCATCTGATTTAAATGAATAAAATTCAATGGTTTCTATCCCTTTAAAAAGGCCTAGGGTGAAAGTGGGGATATAAAGCAAAGCATGAACTTAAAATAATAAAAACAATAAATAATGAAATTTCCTATAAACTATGTTTTAAATTCATTTTTAATATTTTCAGAGGATTCAAATGGGCATTTTTTTAGTATATCTGAATGAATCCTAACCACCAACAACTGAAAAATTACAAATATACCTTTTGAACTAAGCACAGGGTAGTGAAAAGCAGCAGGGATTTGGGGAGCATTTGCCTGACCATGACATGCAACCGTGTTACTCATGATACAGTGGCGAAAGCTGGCAAAAGCTGGCAGGGTTGTGACTGTATCCCAGGGTATTGTTAAAGGCTCCTTCGACCCCTCCTTTATGCAGGCAGGACACAGGTAGATGACGTCCGCTGTCTCCCCTGGATATTCTGTCAACAGGTCCTGAAAGAAGAGACATGATTTTGTGTTGTAAGGAAAAGTGTGAAGAAAAGGCGCAGTCAAGTACGTGCCACTCACTCACCTGCATTTCTCAAGTAGTCAGGCTAAGTCCCAAATATTTCCAAAATTGTGCAAAAGTAGAAGACAGCGTTGAATTTTTCATGATGAATAACCAATGGGTGTTTGTCAATTCTGGATAGGTTGGCAACTCCAAAATTTATTAGAAGCTGGATGAGCAGGTTTGTTAAAATATGCTTCCTCTGTACATGTATTTTTATACACACCCAGATCTCACCAAAGCAAGATCTAAATTTATTAATTTTTCTATACATAATAACCAGCTTTTCTGTTTTCTACAGCAGGAAGAATCATGTTTTTATGTGTCAATCTGACTACATTCAGGGAGAGTCCTTGCAGAGTTGGGTCAATCTACATATTATGTTCATTTCTTTGGGATGAGCCTCATGGTAATCTTTGCCTTAACATTAATAATACTGTGTGTCATTTTGGAATTTGCATTTGTTAAGGTGACTAAGGCTGTGTACTGAACAATCTGGCAAAACTGTAAGCGAGAGAGAGAGAGAGAGAGAGAGAGAGAGAGAGGGAGGGAGGAGAATTCCTGTCACTAACCTGCACTTCTGTATATATCCAGCAAAGAATTTTCCACAGGTCTTCAAAGTCCACAATCTTGCCCCTCACTGCAACCTCGATCTTTCCCTCATTGTCGCCCTGATCCCGTCTGATCAAAATTCTAGAGCTGCCATACCGGGTGAACATTCCATTGCACCAGTCTCTTCGCTGGGAGTCCTCAAATGAACAGCCACGGCAGTGGAGTCGGCCCTGAAGCTGGTTTAGAAAATTATTTTATTCATGAGGTGTCCAACTACACTGAGACAGAGTATGACAGCAAGGTCATTCTGTGTGCTTAGCTTCCTTCTGCATCACCTTCAAGAAAAGACTGATGTTTTGAATCATAGGCCCCATTCAGAATAGGGGACTAACTTGTCCAAGGGTCAAATGTGGCTCACCCGCTTGAATTCTTCCCCGCAGGATATCTATTCAGTGTCTATTAGCGGATTAAATGGCAAGCTTTGTAGTGGGTTGCCATATTTGACCCTCAGACTAGTTAGTCCCCTATTCTGAATGGGGCCTATGATAGAGTGTTAAGTAAGTAAAAAATCTCACCATGTCCTAGCTATTTGGAGCCCAAGCTTCTTATAACATCAATATATTGGATTAATACATAAGTAGTCCTGCAGCTTCAAGACAAGAATGAAACAGACGAAGATCAACAAGATCCACATGTGCCTTAAAATATTTCAAAACTTTATCAAAATGGAAGTTTACCTTTTCAAAATAACTTATGGGGACCACAATGAGGAAATGGAACTCCACTTGGAGTTGAATCTGGTCATCTTCTAGAACACTGGGCCAGACATGTGGCAGGTCTTCAGGTTCTTCTTGCTTGAAAAGGTACCATGGAAAATACAGCCCTTGAGTGCCCTTGCCAAAGCGAACTTGGTAGCAAAGGTCGAACTCCTGCAGGAGTGAGAACAAAAAGTCCTGTTCATTATCTTCAAAATCAGCAAGAATGTTGGCCATCAGTCTTGGAATCAGAACACCTTTCTTAAGCAGATGCATTTCTCTGTCAAACCGTGTCTTTGTGCAGGTGTACAATCCCCTGGCCTTCTCTTCTTTCAGGGTTTCAAAAAGTTTGTAATCGAACACCCTTTTTAGGAAATCTATCATTCGGCCAGTGTCATGGATAACTGAGTCACAAAGTCTGGAGTTTTGTCTATGCCACAATATACAACCCCATTTGTGAAGAAAATCCAACTGGGTCTCAAAGGCCTTTTTCTTACTGTGCGTTTTTATGAATTTAGAGACAGTGTCAAAAGCATCTTTTAAGGGTTGAAACCAGGTGCGTTGGGTTGTTCTGTATCCATTACAATGTTCCCATATTCTGTAGGCATCTCCAACAGACATGTGCAGCGACTGGGGTTTTAAATTCCCTTCTGTCTGTGCTTTGGTCTTGTGCTTCATGACCTCATCTGCAAACTCTACCCAATTGGGTGGCAGCAGCAGGGCATTTTCATTAGCTATGCCTTGGAGTTCCTTTCTGATTTCAAGAATCCCATGGTACTTCAAAGAGCTTATGGTAAAAAATTTCTTATTAATGCAAAGCATGTTGTCTAGTTTATTCTCCAGACTCTTCCTTTTCATTTCAAGCTTTTGGCGCTCTTCTCTTTTCCAAATGCGTTTGCTTTTAAGTTGAGTTTCAACTTCCTTCAGTTTGCGACCAATGTTCTTTTTGTACACTTGTTCCTGGTAGTGATTCACCCTCTCTGTGACATGCTGAATCCTACTTTTGATCTCTTCCTTGGTGAGTAAATCAGATTTTGAACCTACAATCATAACCTTCACACCTGGGATTCGAGACTGCAATTTGAGGATCCAAAAGCCAATGCTGTTAAGATAGGCATTCGTGGTACATGTACAATCATACTTCGAGAGGTCAAACATCAAAATCACCACTGCATTTTGTCTAAGAAGCAACGGGCATATAACTTTATACATTTCATGGCCACCAAAGTCCCAAAAATTAAACACTGTGTTTCCATCACTAATAAAGGATTCATTTACAACTGTAGTGTAGTCTCCCCTTTCAGTAACAAAAGCGTGACAAAGTCTCAGACTTTCACAAAAACTGGTTTTCCCAACTTCAGACTCTCCAACCACAAATACTACCTGCCTCCTGCCATACCTTGCCCCTATACGATCATAAAGTTTCATATCATGTTGGTACTGCAAAATGGCTTCCACACCAAGCTCACAAACCTCAAGAGGAGGTTCTTGAAGTGGGTTTTTAACAAAATCAAACTTCTTCAGCTGCACAAGCTTTTGCAACGATGGCAAATGTGTAATTTGGTTGTGACGGATATCAAAAATCTTCAACTTGGTCAAATTATCCACAATGAAGACAGGAATTGCTGTAAGTTGGTTGTTTGAGACATTCAGTTCTGTAAGATTTGATAAACGTCCAACAGCATCAGGAATGGTTTCCAACATATTTTTGTGGATGCGAAGTGATTCAAGAAATTGCAGGCTTGCAATTTGTTCTGGAATTTCAGTAAGCCTGTTGTTATTTATGTCTAACCATTTCAGATTTTGGAGCTTTAAGACACCTCTAGGAAAGTGTGTGATTGCATTGTGACTTACATCTAGAACTTCTAGATTTCCAAGATTCCCAATTTCATCAGGTACTTTCTCTATACCACAACTCCAAACAAAAAACTGTTGGAGATTTGTCAATCTTTTAATACGCTTGGGAATTTTCTTGATTGGGTTATTGGCAACATGAAGCCATGTCAATTTCTCTAGTTTTGTAACAGAGACAGGCAACTTAGAGAGTCTGTTCCATCCCAAGTGAAGTGTTTCCAATAGTGGTGGAAGTGTTTTAGGAAGACATGTTCTTTTGTTTCTTGACACATCAAGAACCCTAATGCTGTTAAAATTCTCCAAACACTTCAAATTGTTTATGGTACCAAGCTCTGTTCCACTCCAGTCAACCTTATTCCTATCATCATTTCCAAGTTTTCTGATATTTCTTTTATAATTATGATTGTCTGGACGTAAATTGATAAAATAAAGTACTGGTAATAGTAGAAGTATTAGTAGTGCACCACCAAACACAATGCCATCCCCACTGTTACTTAAAACTTCATATGCATTCTGTGCATGTTGCAGTATCATAATTGCATGAGTGCTTATTTTTCTCTTCTAAATATCTTTTTTTCCTTTTTTTCTTTTCTTTTGTACCAACTAACGCTCTCTTGATCTCTATGAGTTTAAAATTTTTGCTATTGTGTTTTCTCTTCTTTTCTGTCATTTTTTACATTGGGGCAAAATTACTTCAGGGACGTCAACTAAAATATATTTTTCACAGTAAAAACTGTATCAGATTTCAGAACACTGTTGTTAACTGATTCTACTGTTCATCAAGTACAGGTGTGCTTATATCAGTATATAAATGGGGAACTGTTGCTTGTTTATCTCTTATGGCACAATGGTTATTATTGTGCACCTGTTCTTGTTTTCCATGTATCAATCCTTCTTTTAGAGTCCAATAAATGCTTCAGAAAATAACGTAGATTGTCTTCTGGGTTTACTGTCCTGATGATGGATTTTGGTCAATAGTTTGCTGCAAAGACAAAAAACTGAGTATACGATCACCTGCATCATAAACTGGCTATGTGACTTGGTAAAAATAAAACATGTACATGTACATGTGCACCTACTGTACTAGTAGATAGTGTTGATGGGTATAACCATCCTTCGATGATCTGCCCTTTGATTTCCAGAAAAAAAAAAACACCATTGGTGCCCTCTTCAAATTAGAATTTTGACGAGCTGAATCATAGTTCTTAACCCCACCAAAAGGCACCATTTATTTGCCCTCTAAAATACCAAAAGGGGGTCAGTTTCGCATCCCCGGACCCCCCCCCCCCCCCACTTCAAATAATCCTGACTCCGCCCATGCTAAGTGTACTATACTTAAGAAAATACTAGCTGTCATTTTATAATAAAAGGAACAACTTGACTGACCTCAATTGAAGCTGAATTAATATAAATGAGATGCACCAGTAATTGAAATAAATGTGCTTTTAAATACAGTACTGGTGTACCGTGTACATATGTAGCACGACAGAAAGCCCACATGACAGAGAGTCTGCTTTCCATTCATTTGAACCACTTACGTCAGGCTAACCCTAACCGTTATAAGTGAATGGAGGGCGGACATTCTGTTACACAGACCCCCCAGATAGCAAGCATACGTTGGGCCAACGTTGGCCCAACTTTGCCTTGGTTGACCGTGCAACGTTGGCCCAACGTTGGGTTTCCATCTAAGTGCTCACTTTGGCCAACGGTTGGCTGAACGTCTTTTTAATGCCAACGCATTGCCAACGTATTCCCAACCAAGCTGCGTTGGCCCTACATTGGGCCAACTAATAACCAACATTGGTCCAACAATTACCCAACCTGTAACCAACAGTGTATTTACGTTGGTTCTACTAATAACCAACAT